GTGCTGGCAGGCTTGCACCTGGCACAGGCACCGTAGCCAGCCCGTGCCCCTTTAAGGGCTCCAGGTCCAGGAGGGGGGCATACAAGTTTCCCTGGTGGTGCCCAGAGTGGCCACCAGGGAAAGCTGGGGACGGCTAGCCTCCCACTAGTTCGAATTAAGGGGCTATACAGCCCTTAATTCGAACTAGTGAGTTCGAACTAGGCTTAGTCCTCGTAAAATGATGTTTACCTAGTTTGAACTAAGCGCTCCGCTAGTTCAAATTAAGTTCGAACTAGCGGATCGCTAGTGTATCGCCTATCAAAGTTAATTCGAACTAACATCCGTTAGTTCGAATTAACTTTGTAGTGTAGACATACCCTCAGTTTATCATTTTTTAGATTCAAAATCATAAATATACCTTACAGCATGAGAAAAATGGTATCAAAAGCCATGGTAAAAAAACCATAAACATAATGAATGATACTATAAATTGAAACTGTCGAGTAGCTTTTTCCCATATTGTACTCAGATATAAGATCACATATCAGTATAGTTGATAATACTATAGTTCTCTGTATAATATAAACATCTTCAAGAAGCTTGGAATCCATTGCACAAAGAATTAAACACTTAGGCTATGTCTATACTGCACTGCTATTTTGAGATACTAGAGGTAACCTGAAATAGCTTTTCCATGTCTTTTGAGTATGCCAGTTATTTCAAAATATAGCAGGCTCAATATTCTGACATCCCTGTAAACCTCATTCCATGAGGAATAAGGGATGTTCTGAAATAAATATTTATTTCTAAATAAGTGTTTTGTAGACAGCACCAAATTTTGAAGTAAGCTATTTCAAAATAAGCTATTTTGAAATGTACTCAAAATAAGCTACACAATTTGCATAACTTAAATTGCGTAGCTTATTTTGAGTTACAGGTACAGTGTAGACACACCCTTAGAGGCAGGTTTCTAAAGACAGAGGAGGATACAGTGAAAAAATATACACGACCCCTTTGAAAATAATAATAAAAAAAATTCCTTTGACATTAAGGTTTGAACCAGAAAATGGTTAGTGGTGTAGATGACCATCCCAGTAAACAGCTAATACAAAATCACCACATAACAAAAAGAGTAAATAGACAAAGTAAAATAGGATAATCACTCCATAGCACTACAAAAGCTGGTATACAGCATAGTAATTGCTACCTTTCACATATAATTGATATTTAACATTCATGAGGACCCATCAACATTTTGTAAAGTGAGTTAAGGATACATCTGGTAGTTAAAGCAGCATCTGCTAGGTGTCTAACCAAATAAGCATTTCCCAGTTTCATCACAGAAGACATGATTATAAGCAAGGTGACTCATTATCTTGCTTGAAGATTGAACATACTTTATCTAGCAGGAAATGGAGATGATCAAATCAGATGAGATGTCAGGGACAAACTTATGGAAATGTAAAACTGGTTTGGTTTTTTTTGTCCTGATTGGCTATTTTGTGTAGAATTACATAGCAACATTTGGTAATAGTATGCATGTGCAAGGAGAAGCAGAAGAAGGAATAAAAAAATGGACACCAAGGCTGTAAGTGGAAGTAAGAAACTGAAAATGTTTAGAAGCTAAAATAGGAACTTGTTTTATTGTTGTTATCTTTGAGCTGGCAGTAAGCCATATAAGAAAATATGAAAAAAATAACGGGATATGGTAAGTCATTAGCACAGATATTGTAGAAACCATTAGGTTCTGTTTTCACAAACATGGAAAAGATTAATTCAGTTATGGAAATTGTTCTAGATGCACAATTCATCTCTTTAAACATCTATTGAAAAAAAGGCTTTATACAAAGGAAGTCTTAGATTATAGTAATACATCTTTTTCTGGTTCCATCCTTCAATTACACAGAGGCTACGTCTAGACTGGCATGATTTTCCGGAAATGCTTTTAACGGAAAAGTTTTCCATTAAAAGCATTTTTGGAACAGAGCGTCTAGATTGGCATGGACGCTTTCCCGCAAAAGCACTTTTTGCGGAAAAGTGTCCGTGGCAAATCTAGACGCGCTTTTGCACAAAAAAGCCCTGATCGCCATTTTTGCGATCGGGGCTTTTTTGCAGAAAACAAATCTCAGCTGTCTACACTGGCCCTTTTGCGCAAAAGTTTTGCACAAAAGGGACTTTTGCCCGAACAGGAATAGCATAGTATTTCCGCGAAAAGCACTGATTTCTTACAGTAGGAAGTCAGTGCTTTTGCGGAAATTCAAGCGGCCAGTGTAGACAGCTGGCAAGTTTTTCCAGAAAAGCGGCTGATTTTCCGGAAAAACTGGCCAGTCTAGACACAGCCAGAATGTATGAAAACTTTCCTAGGTCTTTCATTTCCATGTATGTTTTTAGACAGTTTGGAACAGACCCTCTATAGTATTTGGATGTCTAAGGTCCATTTATTTCAATAAGAATTAGGCTCCTAAATGCCCTCGAAGATTTGGGGCTTTGAAACCAGTCCTGACTCCTTATTGCATTGCTGTCTCAGCAAATGGAACAGAAATGCACATACAGTTGAAATGGAAAATGCTATTCTCCTTCTTCTTCAACACTTAGAAAGTCAGCTAAAGTGATAATTGCTATTGGAATATCAATAAACAGTTGTAGTAATACTAAGTTAAAGTATCAGGTGTTGCAAAGGAAGCAAAAGTTGGAGCCTTATATCCAAATAAGTGTTTTGCGTGATATCTTAATTGAAGCATGAACGAATTGTTTAACTTTTGAGTGGAATTGACAGTTAAAGGAGTCCAATCTAAAAACAAACTATTGTTTTGTTTACAGAAGGCCATATTCTGGAGGATGTAAACAAGTGCATCCTTGCACTCAGAGAACAGGATGCTGATGGTTTAGATCGTGCAGCCGGTGCCATCCGAGGGCGTGTTGCAAGGGTGGTTCATATCGTCTCTGGTGAAATGGATAATTATGACCCTGGGGTTTATACTGTACGAGTGATGAAGAATGTTCAGTATCTGGCAAATACTGGTAAGTCTGGATTTTAGACCAATGTAATTCATTTTCTGTTGTACACTGTTTGTGCTAATGATTTAAAATATAATAACTCTGGGATCTAATGAGTTAACACCAACCTTTGTCATGGGTTCTCTTATCTTCTCTCAATAAACATGGTATCTTTTTGTGATTACAGCATACATTAAAAATGGAATCTTTGTAAAATATTTTCAGTGTTATTTTTATAAATCCAAGAGACACAATTTTGCTGGCTTGTGACTGGTGAAGCAACAATTTTAAGAAGTATTCTGCCAACCTCATCACATTCCTTAGACATATGGCAAAGCCATTGCTATCTCAGTTTGGCTTTTATAATGTGTGTACTGTAGTACAAATGAAGCCATCATTGTTAGGAACAAGTATATTGTTAGTTTTTAGCAATATGACATCCAAGTGTAGGAGGAGCACTTTTTGGCTACATCTAGACTGGCCCCTATTACGAAATAGCCATGCTAATTTCCAACTTTGGAATAGGGAAATCCGCGGGGGATTTAAATATCCCCCGCGGGGTTTAAATAAACATGTCCGCCGCTTTTTTTCCAAAAGTGCTCTTTCGAAAAAAGGCATTCTTGAATGCAAACAGGGCTTTTTCGAAAGAGCATCCAGACTGCCTGGGTGCTTTCTTTCGAAAAAGCAGCTTGCAAGTAGGAATAAGAGATCCTCCGGAAAAGGGCTTTATTCCGGAGGATCGCGCCAGTCTAGATGCTTTTTTCCGGCTTTTCCCCAAGCCGGAAAAAAAGCGGCGGACATGTTTATTTAAATCCCCCGCTGATTTCCTTATTCCAAAGTTGGAAATTAGCATGGCTATTTCGTAATAGGGGCCAGTCTAGACGTAGCCTTTAAGTATAGGAGAGTTGAACTTTTTTTTAAAGAGAAGAACAATCCTTTTTGTGATCACATGCATCTATGGTCATATGAAATGAAAAGTGACTATTAACTGTGGTTTAATAGTCATCTTTCCTTTTAAACAACATGGAGTCCGGTGTCGCTTTAAAGACTAACCAATTTATTACAATATTAGAACATATGATTTCGTGAGCTACAACTCACTTCCTCAGATGCTGAAGAGAAAATAAAAGAAAGACAGAAAGAGAGGGAAAAGAGATACAGAAATGGGAGTGTGACATCGGGGCTAATTAAATCAGAATGGATGTGGTTCATCTCCAACAACGGTGAGAAGGTAAGAGTTTGGGGTGTCAAATCTGCATATGAATTCCAGCTCATCTGTTTTTCTCTGTAGTCTGGTTTTGAAGTTTTTCCATATGAGAATGGCAACCTGCAAGTTGGAAACTGTGCGCCCAGGGAGGTTAAAGTCCTCCCCCCCAACTTTTGGATGTTGCCATTCTTAATGACTGATTTGTGTCCATTTACTCTTTTGTATTGAGACAGCTTCATTTGTCTGATGTATATGGCAGAGGGGCATTTTTGATACATGATGGCATATATTAGGTTAGCACATGTGCATGTGAATGAGCCTTTGATGGTATAGTCAATGTGGTTAAGTCCTGTGATGGTGTCACTAGGGCTATGTCTACATTATAGCCTTTTTTCAGCAGAGACAATGCAAATGAAGTGCTCATTAGCATTTGTCACACTGTCATTTGTATATTATCTCCCAATGCTTTTTGCAGGAGAGGTTTTTGTGCAAAAATAAACAGTGTAGACGGGGCTGTTTTGTGAAAAAAAACTCTTTTGCACAAGATCCCTTATGCCTCAAAAAGGAGGTATTCAGGTTCTTGTGCAAAAGGATTTTTTTTGCGCAAAACGGCCCCATCTACACTGCTTTTTTTGCACAAAAACCTCTTGCACAAAAAGCATTGATAGATAATATGCAAATAACAGCACAACAAATGCTAATGAGATCTTCATTTGCTTTGTCTCTGCAGTGGAGATGTAGCCTACGGTAGATGTGTAGAGAGAGTTGGTAACTGCAGCCAGTCGAGAGATTATATAATTGATTCCTTTATATATGGTCTGCACCTAGGATAGTCAAAGGAGATGAAGCCATCATATTGATAAAAGGTTTTTAAATGCTTTATTGTAGCACTTTCTACAGTACATAATTTTAAAGACTTGATTTCAGATTGATGAAAAACAAATGTTCAAAGTACTTTACTATATGCGGTACCTTTGACGATCACAAAATTCTATAAGGAAGCAGTGGATTTGGTTTAATTACCCACAGCTTTATTCACCCCAAATATCTAGGTGTACCTGGCGATACGTTATACAGTGCAGGTCATAATTATTTCCCAAACTATTCCCTCCTGTTTAGGAAACTATTGCCAGCCCTCCTCCTTTCCAACTTAGGCCTGTTGCTGGTACTCAGCCGCCAACACCGTGTGCAGGGCGAAAGAGGACTGAAAAGAAAGGGGGTAAGGGTTGGCTCCAGTCTATTCCTAATAGTAGGAGACCTGAATCCCCTTTCTCAGCTTCCTTAAGGGATGCTTTCCTCTAAATCTGCTTCTAACCCATATTGTCTGATCACCATATCCCCTATATAATGATTACCGCACTGGATGCCTGCCACTTTTTTTTTGTTACTGAGTAATTACATTTTAATTTAAGCTCTACACTTACTCTGCCAGGCCCCTGACTTACTGCGGAGATGGTGAAAAACCTACCCTGACACAGCCAATCTGGAAGCAAGCAAAAGATTCTTTACCAGCCTCTAGAGAAAGAGGGCAACTAGCTTAATGCCAAGAGCAGGTCATAAAGAAGCCCATTCCTACTCTGATTCCATGGATGGGATGAGGCACATTGGCACCCTGATCACAGTGAGATAGGGCTTGGTTTTAAATGCCCTTCCAAAGGCACCTGGAAGGGTAGTGCCCCCCACAACCTGGTCCAGTCACTTCCTCTTCTTCCTTGCTCCACTTAAATATACATTCCCTGATTGCCATCAATAGCCCATAATAGCATTTCTTTCTCCCTACCAACCAGACAAAGAGTCCATCACTTGCAGTCATGGTAAGCAAAGATTCATAAGCCTGAAGAAGAAAGTAAATTGAATGTTCAGCCTTTCTTCCTTTCCTTTATTTTTACCTGTAGGGCATTGTAAATCTGTTGGATATAAACTACATCCACCTTAATATCTCACATTTAAACTGAAAAGCCTGTCTTCTTAAAAAACACAGCATATCAAACAGACCTCCCAAGACTTGTGTGATCTTTGATTTGATTTCAAGAGCTAACCTCTTACCAAAATGCCTCTGGCCAGTTTTTTGGTAAGAGCAGACTGCTTGAGAATACAGCCTTCAATTATATAAGTGGGATGTCCAAATCCTGTATCCATCAGCAGAGTTTCCTAAACAAGTCCTCAATGTGTTACACTTGACTGACATTCACTTATTTTACATTCAATAAAAGAGGGGCATTTAGTATACGCTCATTCATAGAATCAATCAGCTTAAATAGGTCCAAATTGGAGCTACATTCACTGGGAACAGGAGCAGACTGATGTCCCTAGGAGTTGCAAAATGTGGACATAATGATGGACAGAGTCTGAAATAAACATGACCTTTGTTTTCCCTCTGGCATTTTGATGAAGAAAAAGGCCGAGAAGTTGCAGCACAACATACTTTTCTCATTAAATGAAACAACAAAGAAAAAACCCCAGAAGAAACAAGCTATAGAGAAGTACAACCTCTTGTTGTCTGTATCGCTTCACCCCCTCCTCAATGCATATGTGTAGTGTTTAAACACTGTGGGAGCTGACACTGATTTCTGTTCTCTTGCACTGCAGTGACAATGTATATCCCTAAATCAGTGTACCTAAGACAGACAAGCAGAAATATAGCCTTTTTTGTTAGAAAATGTGGTTTGTGTCAAGGCATGTTGGGCACAATGTCATAAGTCTGAATTTCTTTGTAATCCATTGAACATCAGAATCCAATATCCTTAAATTATTCAGTAGGAGTGAAAAGAGGAACATACATTTTCCATTGTTGTTATTATTAGTACATTCTTTAGTGAATAAATATGAGATCCTGAAAGGTTATTTTCCTACTTTGATTTCTGTGAAGTTGCAAGTGCTCAAAACCAGTCAGAATTTGCCTCAGTAAGCACTGTAGGGTCCTTTAAGCAAAAACCAGCTAACAACAAACTGTGTTTTTACTAAGAGTATTTTTATTCATCCTGCCATCCTATCCTAATTTAGTTTGCCTAAATTACTCAGGGCAAAGTAGTGATCTCTTTGCTTCCCCTGTATCATGCAAATGATGCATGTTTCCAAGGGCAGATCACTGTTAGGTAAAATTGTCCCTCGTTAATAATACTTTGGAACTCAATAATCAGACACAAGGGTAAGGTGAATAGAAAGATGTATTATTTTGTACTAACATTCCAGGTGTATAAAACAATCATGACCACTATTTACACTGTTAACTAAAGAAACAGTTGCTTGTGAGTCAGTACACAAATTATTGTTATAAGACTAGATATGCTGTTTCACAGTAAAATAAATGGGCTTATATGAATCCACAGAACTCAATTTAAAAGCTCTTTGAGTAGATCTACAGGAAGCCTTATAAAATACTAGCAACCATCTTTCTATTTCAGCTTTGTTCTACTAACTGCTCACAGTGGTTGGGAACAGCAAACCACAGCGATTGGTAAACAAATCAATGACTGGCAGCCCATCAACAACTAACCCTAACAAACTGCTTGAGATGTGCCCACCCAAGGTTCCACATCCCTGCCCTAGATACTTGACAGCAGTTCTGCTGCCTAGCAAATGACTCCCCATTTTGCATTCGTGCACATTCATGTTTCCTTCCTAAATGTAGAGCTTTCCACTTGTCTTTATTGAATTTCATCTTGTGTAGATAATACCAATTCTCCAATTTCACAAGGACAACAAACCCTTATAAGACCCCATTGAATAGGACCATCCAGTAAAACAGCAAACTATTGATTATTACTCATTTTATGTATTTTAACTAGTTGTGCACCTACCTATTGTAATGCCATCT